TTTTTTGGATCACGGATTAAAGGTCAAGCTCATTCTGTATCACGGACTTATCCTTACCCCTGAATCTGATTCCCACAGATTCATTTCCCCAATTAGTCTCTTTCCCCCTGCATCTACTAACCTTTATCTTTTAGTTGCAAGCCTGTTGGACTCCGTTCCAGTGGACCTTAACATCAGTTCTACTTCTACTGGCAGCCCGCCACTACAACACTACCCAATCACGAACTACCAATCAGAAGATCGGAACCAGCCCAGAACCAGACCTACTCCAGAGTTTTACTTTACTTCACAATAAATCTTTTAACCCTCTCAGTGGTTGTTGTTGTTGTTTGCGATCCGGCCTCTGGTTCATGACAATCATTACTATTTTACAATATCTTGATAAATCAAAACTGTGTTTAGTTCATACCATTTCTAAATGTTGAAGTGAACCACTCATTTTAAATCAACTGTGAAACAGTATTAATGATTTTTTAATCCTCATTTAAATTAGAAATCAAGTTAAATGTCTATTTACAAAGTAATTATGCATTTTGATCTTCTGTCTGAATGAGAAGTAGTGATGTCGGTCGAAAGTCAGAAAGGAGTTATTAGAACGAAGTGGATTGTTTTTAAACCTGGCAGACAGTAAATAAGAATCAACTGGCACCTGCTTGCTCTCACTTCTTCAAAACATTTCTTCTGTCTGTACTGGACGTTCCTAAACATTCTTGGACTTTCTTGACTTGTAATAACCCTCTGACATCACTAGAACCACCCCCTGTTGGTTGTTTCAACCAATCAGGAAGTCCTGAAGTGACCGGAAGTGAGAACTCTTTAAAAGTCCACACTTCCTGGAGTCTTCAGGTTTTTCAAGTTCTTCTGAGTCTTCAAGTGGGTCTCTGATGAAGTCTAGTCTTGAACTCAGTCTTCAGAGTCTGTGATGGATTCTCCCACATCTGAGTGGAAACTCTGCCGGTCTGACAGCTTGCTGTGTATCCACCTGGGAGATGAGCGTGTTTGTTGAACGGAGTAAGCGGCACGACTCCTGACATGGCCAACCACTCTTACCGGAGACGCTGGAAGGTAGCGTTGAAATGCCCCCGACACCGGAGCGATTAAGTTCTGCAAAGGTAACGAGTCTTAACGTGCCAAGTGTACTAGAGGTTTTGAGCTGGTGTTGAAGGGAGCGTGCCATTCTGCGGTCCGAACAGACACCCCCTTTTTATCCATCTTTTCTCTCCATTTAAACTCCTTCAATTTTTCCTTTAAAACTCTTCTATTTTGCCAGTAGTCTAGATGCCTTTAGAAATGTCCTGTTGTCTTATTAAGTAAAACGTGCCAAGTTTTATTAATCAGAACCAGATCAGCTAATCAAGTGTACAATGTTTTGATGTTAAATTTTGA